ATATAGAGAGAGAGAAAGAGAGAGAGAGAGAGAGAGCAATGATATCATGCGAACCGTTGTATAGTAATATGATGCAACAAGTTTAAAAAACCATCTTATGACCATTTGTTTGATTCATACTAATGAATCAATCACCAAAAAAAAATTGAAAACACAACCTATTTAGCTCAATTAACATAGGCCGTTCATTTTGGTGAGATACTTAGATCTAGGCCTTAGAAAGATTTTTTCATTTCCAATTTTTTTGGATGCCTTTATTATCATTAGATCAACAATGTTAAAAAAGAAAAAAATGATTTTGCATTTATAAAGGCTAAGATCTTGAAATTAACAAAATGAATGATCTAGATTCGTTTTTGGAGATAATTCATTTTGACCATATTTAGGATTCAAATGTAACTTCTTCTTTTTTTGGATTTGATTATTGAGATGAAGAGAGTGTGTGTGCAAAATTTGGGATCATACAAATACCACAAACATGATTTTCTAAAAATGTCGTTGCATTATACGATGATACTACCGTTGCATTGAATCATTGCTTTTATATATATAAATAAAAGCTCACAAGCTTCTACCGTAGGACAAAAATATATATATTTGACAAGGTTAATGAGTCCAATAATGGGGCAAAGGAAAATAATTTCCTCCAAAGGGAAAGAATATTGACCATCCAGCCATGTACAAGACTAGAGGTAGAGCTTCTATCGTTCGTTAAAGCTTGTATTTACATGCCTTGGATGGATGTATTCAATGTTTTACATAGATCACCGACTTGGATGGGAAATCGGCCAAGACACGTTTTGGGATAGTATGTATTCTGGCTCCTTTTATATATCTTGTTTTTTTTTTTTATGTGATTTATTGGATCCATCTATATTCTCAGCTTGTAAACTTTTATTTTATTTTTATTTGTATTTTTATTTTTATTTTTTTATTTTAAATATGTTTTGAAATATAAAATAAAACCATAAATTGCCACCCAAAACCGGATATAGATAAGTGGGTAAATAAGGCCCCGCCGATGTGGGTTTTGAGAGACTTGGATGAAAAGTCGGTGCACCGCGAAGGGGTGCGGACCGGCATATCGACGGAACCGAAACCCTGAAAAGTGGATTCGGGAATCGAGAAGACCTCGGCTCGCTGCATGCACCCACACCCACCCCCACCATCGCATATGGTTTTGTATTTATATAACACATTCGTAGGATGACTTCTCTCTTCTTTCCCTTCCTCACTTCTCATCCACCCAATCGATCCATCATCTTCTCCTCTTCTCTCCTCTCTCTCTCTCTCTCTAGTTTCTCTCTCTACTCACCAATAGGCTCCTTTTGCCCTCCCTCTCTCTCTCTCTCTCTCTCGAGCAAGGGCGGTGGATGGCCAGGATCAACAAGTATGCCTCCATTAATTTCAACGAAGTCTATGGAAACAAGAACCCCGCACCCAACTCTGTTTCCTCTCCTGCAACTTCTCGCCCCGCCTCTCATGGAGGAATGCTCGTCTTAACCCGCCCCTCCAAACCCCAACCTCCCCAACCCAAAAAACTCAACCCACAACCCCCATCATCGAACCCACTCGAGCCCACTGCGCAAGCCACCGACCCCCCCAAAACCAAGCCCACTATCCCACCCATCCAACCATATAAGCCAGAACCCGCCGTCCAGTCCATCGAGCCCTCTAAGCCTGAACCCACCATCTCAGACTCTATCTCTCTGAGGCCCTTGGGGCGCAGCAACAAATACACGCCCCCTTCTTCGAATTCCTCGGCAAAAGCAGAAGATCACAGCACAGAGACCGTCTCAGAGAAAGGGAGCGACATCTTATCAAGAGAAATAGAGAGAGGGAGTCTTGATTTATCAGGGCACAAAGAGAGAGAGAATCGAGATTCATTGAAGGAGAGAGCGAAAGGGAATCAAATCCCAAAACCGGAACCATTTCGACCGCCCCATCTACGTCCAGGCTACGTTTCATCAAACGAAGAACCTTTTGTAAATGAGGTCCATGGCAATGGCCACAGGTTCAGAGATTTCAGGGACTTTGGGAGAAACAACGCGTTAGGGCAGGGGCAATTCGGGGATAATTATGGCAGGGTGCGCGACGTCCGTTACTCTCCAAATTCAATGGATGAGATGGGAGGACATACTGGTAATAATGGAGAAGAAAGGAGGCCAAAATCGGGAGGATGGGACGAGAGGATGCGACCGAGTTCGGGTGGCGGCAGATCGAGTCCCGGTGGACCACGGCCTAGTTCCGGCGGGTTCAGGCAGGGTTTTGGCGGTCGGGTCGCGGGGAATTCAGATCCGCCCACGGGAAAACCCCAGTTTTATGGCTCTTACAGATCAGAGACACAGAGGTGGGCCGCTGAGTGAGAAAGGGGTAATAGCTCGAAATCATGATCCGATGATGTTTGTTTCTTTGGAATCTCCATATGTTATAGAACTGCATATTCCGAACAAGTCTCTATATTCATCTTCTGATTCTTGCTCTTTCTTTATGCATATTTATTTATTAATGTGTTTATTTTTCGATGACTCGAACTAGGGTTTGGTTTATGTTGTAATACTGGGTTTGGAGCTAATTTGTAAGTTTCTCTTTGATCATCACTGTCATGGGAGCTTTATCCCAACTATTTGGGAAATAGTTGGGGTTGGCTTTGATAATAACTTGTTACAAAGTTTTACTGGGTTTGAAACTAATTTTTAAGTTTCTCTTTGATCATCACTGTCATCGACCCCGGCTGCCTACTTAATACAACTTTCCATCTTTACTTGGGCTTGGAACCAATATGATTGACAAAAAAGCCAAATTTCATCAAATAAATGGTGTGGAAAAGAAATGAATATTGCAGGAAGAAGTGGGTTTGGAACCCAACATGATTGACAAAAAAAGCCAAATTTCATCAAATAAATGGTGTGGAAAAGAAGATAGAAATGTATAGCGAGCTGGTAGGGTAACTTTTTCCGGTACATCTCTTTGTCACGCCTGCTTACTTTTGTAATATAAAGAAGGAAAGGGAGATTTTCTTTTAACTGGTATACAAAGAGGAGAGAGAGAGAGGAGGTGGAAGAAGTCCTTATCAGGAAGGAATGTAGACTAGAAACAGGAATTGCCCGTCTTTTCTCCACGGGAACGAATTAGTAGGGTTGTGATTGGTATTTCAAAATCCGACTTTCTTAAATGGATGGTTCGCCCCAAGTCTCATAAAAAAGTGGGTCGTGTTAGGTAGGTAGCTAATATAAAATTTGTTTTGGTTCGGTCTCAAATAATTGAATTGATAATCGTCGGGTTTAGATGGCTCAATTAGCTTGGAAGATGAAAGATAACAATTTCGTGTTCACTCATGAGAGGTAGGGCTTAAAAGGGTGCCAAAAAAGTATAGTGGCAGCAAAAAAAACATGATTGCAGGCCTTGTTACCGAAAAGAACATAACTTTACTCGAATATCCAATTAAATATTGTAACTATAAAAATCTTTTACTCGTATATCCAATATAAATATTGTAACTATAAAAATCTTTTCCTTAAAATTTTTCCCCTTAACATTTCTTAAGCCTGGTAAAGGGGTGGGTTGTATTAGGTAAATAACCAAAATAAAATATGCCAAAACTTTTCATGAATTCAAAATCTACGTTATTTGCTTATGCTTGGGCATTTTTCAGAAGCGACCCGTTACTTCGGAACGCGAGAATAGTGAGAAATGAGCAAGGGTTAGCTAGGGCGTACCTTAGAAATGAAGCATCACAGCGTCGCCCGATTGCGGTGAAAATAAGCAAGAATTCCTGCAACAATCGGGACAAATGCGAATAAAGAAAATAGGTAAGGATTCCTACGACAAATCGAGACAGTGCGAATAAAGAAGCTAGTCAAAGATAATAGGATTCGCCTAGTTATATGGAATGTATGAACTCTTCCATGTAAGAGTATGCAATTAGTGACACAATGAGATGAAGGAGAGTAAACGTAGCATGTCTATAGGAAATTAAGTGGAAAAGAAAAAAAAGAGTTAAAAAAATAAATGGGTATAAGCTTTGGTAAATAAAAAAGAAATAATATAAGTGATGTAGGCATAATAGTAGATAAAGATTAAAAGATAAAGTAGTTAATGTCAAGAGAGCTGGTGATAGACTCCTTTTAATTAAATTTGTATTAAGGGAAGAGATAATTAATTTAATTAGTGCTTATATATCACAAGTAGAACTAGAGAATAGACTTAATAGACAATTTTGAGAGGACACAGATGGCCTAGTACAAGACATACCAAATGGAGAGATGACATTTTTTGGAGGGGATTTAAATGGATATATATGGAAGAATAATAGAAGATATGAAGGGTTACATTTGGGAATATGAGTTTGGTGAAAGAAATGAGATAGGTGAGGCTATTCGAAATTTTGTTATGATCTACGACCTAAGAATAACCAACATTTACTTTAAAAAGCGAGATGAATATTTAATAACCTATAAAAATTGTTCATATTAAAGCATTTAATAACCTATAAAAAATTGTTCATATAAAAGCCACATTAACTTTTTTTTAGTTAAGAAGATAGATCGATCATCATGTAAAGACTGTAAGGTTATCTCAAGAGAGAGTTTGACTACCCAATATAGGCTTGTGGTTATGAACGTCTGCATAAAGACAAGGAAGAAAAGAGGTGAAATTGATAGCTGACCAAGAACTAGGTGGTGGAATTTAAAAAAATGAAAATTTAAACTTATCTAAAAATAAATTAGTTAAAGAAGGAAAATAGAACTCTGAATATAAGGTCAATGATATGGAATGAGCTGGCCGATTGTATTAAGAAAGTGGCAAAAGAAATTTTTGTTAAAACTAAAGGGAAAAGAAATTTCGATAAGGAAACTTGTTGATGGAGTGACGAGGTTCAGAAGGTCATTAGCGAAAAATGATCTCATTATTAAACTTGGCAATGCAATAGAAATGAACAAAACTTAGAAGAGTATAAAGTTTTTAAGAAAAACGCTAACCCAATAATAAATAAAGCTAAACTTAAGACATATGATAATCTATACAGTAATGTGAGCAAGATAAGGTGAAAAAATTGTCTTCAAATTAGCAAAAATGAGAGAAAGAAAGTGTAAAAATCTAGACCATATTAAATACATTAAGAGTGAGGACCAAAGGGTCTTGGAGAAGAATGAAGAAGTCAATAAAAGGTGGAGAGTTTATTTTTAAAAATTATTAAATAATGAACACAGTGGGAACATAATAATAGAAGGAACCATTGACATTTAATGAGTGTTGAAGTCATAGATACATTCGTACGATTAGGATCTCAGAAGTGAAAGTAGCTGTAAAGATTATGAATATAGGAAAGGCTTTAGGATCATATAATATTATGATAGAGGTTTGAAAGTGCATGGGGGAGATTGGCCTTGACTAACTAACCAAGTTGTTCAATACTATATTAAGAACGAAGAAAATGTTAGACGAATGGAGGAAAAAGTACTATGGTATCTATTTACAAAAACAAATGAGACGTACAGAATTGTATGAACTATCAATAAATCAACCTTATGAGCCATACAATGAAGTTTTGGGAGAGAGAGTGATAGTGCAAAGACAAAGGCATGAAATGAGTATCAAAAAAGCAATACAGCTTTATGCCACGGAGGTCAACAACCGATTCTATTTTCCTACTTAGACAACTGATTGAGAAGCTTAGGACAAAAGAAAAATACTTCTCGTTGGTCTTTGTTGAAATAGAGAAAAATTTATGGTAGAATACCTTGAGATTTGATTAGGTAGGTGTTGAAAAATAAAAGAGTCTATGGACATTACATTGACTTGGTGAGAGATATGTACGATGGAGCACTAACCAGTGTATAAATAAATGGTGGAGAGATGAGTGAGTTTTTAATGATAATAGGTCTACATCAAGGATCAGCATTGAATTCGTAGTTCTTTGTCTTAGTTGTGGATGATTTAACTTGGCACTTACAAGATGAGGTACCTGGTGCATGTTATTCGTTGATGACATAGTTTTGATCGATGAGACCCAAAACGGCATCAACAAAATGTTAGAACTCTAGAGGACTCTATAATCTAGAGGTTTTAAAATTAGCCGAATTAATACAGAGCATATTGAGTGCAAATTTAGTAATAGGAGTAGAGATTAGAAAGTAGTTAAGATTGACGATCAATAAATACAAAAAAAAATGCACTTTCAATAACTTGGGTCAATAATCTAGGAAAATTGAGATATTGAGAAAGATATCACAAAAAATTAGAGCAGGATGACCTAAGTGGAGATATGGCAACATAAGTTTTATGTAAGCACCGCATGAAGGTGAATGGCAAGTTCTAGAGGACAGCAGTGAGACCAACTTTGCTTTATGAGACGAAATGTTAGATGATCAAAAAAAAACATACCTATAAAATGAGCATAGCGAGGATGATGATGTTGAGATGGATGAGTGACATGACAATTAAGAGATAGAATTCCAAATATATATATTCAGAAGAATTTAGGTGTGGCACCAAAAAGCGATACGATGAAATAAAGTAGCCTTAGGTGGGCTAATTATGGGTGGCGCTGACCCAATACAACACCTATTCGGATGTGCGAGTTAGTTCAAGTGGAAGGCTCAAAAAAGGCAAGCAACAATCCCAAAAAGAAATGGTTGAAAGAAGTGAAAAAATATATGGCCCTTGATAAAGCTAAATAACAAACCAGGATTTGTGTAGCAAATCCCAATTAGTTAGAAAAAGCTTTGAAATGATGAAAATCTTTCTAATATTTATATCTTACATGTGTATCAATTTTCAAACTCTGTCACGACTAGTTCCAAGCTGGTCATACCAGTCCCAAACTCAGATAAAGAGAAAGGTTGTTTTAGGTAGACAGCCAGTTAAAAACTATGCCACATCTTTTTATAAATCGTTAATGGAACAAGATTCGTGTAGCCCACCCCAAATATTTGAGATAAAACTTGAATCATTATGATGATGATGATGTGTATTTCTTTTACAAAAACAATATATTCATATAATGAGTATAGCTGAGACGAGGATATTGATATGGCTGAGTTGCAACATAAAAAAGAATAGAGATGAACAAAATCCATTGAGAGAGGGAAAGAGAATCCGTTCAGAGGGGGAAAGAGGGAATGAGAAAAGATTGAGAAATGAACTTAAATTTGGATGAGAGGGTTGCACATGTGGAGAGGGCGTTAAGAGAGAATAATTTCCATAAGTATAAGAGAAAGACAAATACGAGAGAAATAATTGAGGATATAGAATTTAAAGAAAAAACAATAAATGATAGATAGAAAACTTACATACGTTTTTTTTTTTTTTTTTCCTTTCGAGGGTCGCATGTGGAGAGGCTGTTTCTTATAAAACGTAAAATGTAAATCCATAGAGAGAGAGTAATTGTTCCATAAACAGAAAATATGAGACAAATAAATGAGGTTGCTTTTTAATAACTGAGAGAAAAAGAGAGAAGCCATTGAGAGAGGAGAGAGCGTAATGCCCAAGGTCTAGAGACAAAAACGTACTGCTAAGTTTGTTTTGAAGTTTTTTCAGTATTAAGTTTTATCACAATCTTCTTCCCCAAGGTCGAGAGAAAGCGTAATGCCAAATTTGGGGCAAAACAAATGAGTAACAACCCCCAAATTAGCGAACTTGGATACTATTCCGGTTCTCCCTGACCAAGTATTTTTCCCAGGGAAACATTTCTATGGGTGTGGTTTGTATAGAGCCGAGGTTCTAAATCATCAAAGTAAATCACAACTTCAAATAGTGTTGAGAAATGTGGTTTCAATACTGATAATTTTTGTAGTAGCCTTAAAATATATTTTCATTTTTAATTATAAAATTTAAAGCTTTAAAAATAAGGTAGATCAACCAAATCTATGGAAACATGAAAATCTTAAAAATTGACAGTCCAAAAATGTGTTACAAGATGCACTACTTCCAAGACTTGAAATCTATTTCCAAGACTTGAAATCTATTTTTTTCTCATATCCATGCATCTTGATGTCGAGATGATCAATTTGAGGATATTTGGGCATTAAAACACCTCTTCTAATGAAATTTTTAAAGTGGGCTCTAATTTAATTGTTTACCGCCTCGACCCTATAAAAACTTTTTCCTCTTTCTATCATGCAGACCAGATGACAAACACCCTCCAATGTTTCAAATTAGAGGAAAGAAAATACATGATCAAAGATTGTTTAATGTTTTATTTTTAGATTTTTCCAAAATTTTGGACATCCACAAATCTCAATCACGCACATGTAAAAAATATAACAAATAATTTATAATAAAATAAATTGACCGAATACTTTTAAATGTTCATGGAGTATCTTGTTCTATTTACCTTTTACAAATTATTAATTTTATATTTAATTTAGGTACACCTTAGTGTAGCATAAAAAAATTCAGAACTTCTTGTCAATCCAATTTGTCAAAAAATTTAAAATAAAAATTCTATATTAAATCATGACCATCCATGTTTTTTCCTTCTAATATGAATTGTTGGAGAGTGCTTGTGTACCCCTAAGTGTCCACACTTTGTAGACCCTATATTATCTTTTGTCCTTTCAATATGAAGGGTTGAAAGGTGCTTGTGTACCCCTAAGCATCCACACTTGGACCTCATAATATCCTTTTTCCTTTTAATATGAACTGTTGAAAGGTACTTGTGTACCCCAAGTATCCACACTTTGTGGACCCTATACCATCCTTTTTCCCGGACAGGATGCTACAATCGCCAAATGAGACGGCAATTAGCGAGTGTTATTTGTGCTTAGCTGATCAACCAAGCTTGTCTATAATGAAAGACTTTACTAAACCGATATCACAACTTTGAAAACTATGACCCAAAAAAGCATTTACATCGAAAACAGAAGATATGCTGATGTAGAAAGGACATTATGTCTGCATCTCCCATCCACTCCTATATCGGTGATTACCCTCCAAGCAACATCAAGTAAAGCAAACAACGGTAATAGCCAGGAGTTATTATCTCCATTCACTTCTACAATACAAACCGTTGGTAGTTCAAGCACAACCACAAGCTTCTGATCTAAATTTGTTTAAGCATAATAGAAACGATCAACTACAAATCCACATCCACCAGAATCGCTCCCTACACCTTAGAGAGGAAAGCGAATTGTAAAACACATATGTCATGGTGAAACAAGCCCAATACGGTTGCAATACTTAACTAAGTCTAAAAGTTGTCATGCAAGTAACACTTGCATCTGGCAATGCAACCATACACTTACACAGCTCTAGCAAGGCCATCAGATTCATGTTCGGACCACTGGTGAAGAGAATCCTGAGGACCACACGAGGACTTTGATGCCTCAGTGGTGGTAGTGGGAGCTTCCTCCGAGCAACTCTGAGCATCATCACTTGCCACCACTACAGGGATCATCTTTTCCACTTCATCATGCGTATATATCAGGATCTTTGAGACAATGTTACAGAATTCCCTAACATACATTCATGGGACGAGAAAAGCATCAGATCCATGTGTTTGTGCATGTGCATGTGGGGGGAGAGAAGAGAGAGAGAGAGAGAGAGGACAACTCACTGCCAAGGATCATCCCCCACCAGCATCATATCATCATCACTATCCGTGTAGACAACTTGCCATCCCTTCTTGGGATCATTTAGAAGCCCCTCCATATTGAATAGCCGCTCCAGTTCACTAATTAGATCGTCATACCCCTCGAACTTTGAGAGATTGATAGCCCTTCCCACCATGCTTCCCTGCTTGTGGACCTGCAGCAACACGGGTTTGATAAGAAGCAGAGAGAGAGAGAGAGAGAGAGAGAGAGAGAGATGAAATGGGAATGTGATTTTGAAGGAATGATTACTTTTGTGCAACTGCGGTTGGCTGTTTTATTCAAACACTGCGACTTGGACTCAGACTGTTTCTGCTGGGTCTCGCAGCTCACTGTCCAAGTCGAGGGCTGGAAAGAGCTCTTTGAATTGAAGTCATCATTCGAAGAAAGAGAGACATGTGCAGGGTCCATTGCTTCATTTGAGAGAGGAGGCTCCTCAGTTAAGGAAAAACCAAAGAGTCTGCAGCAACTGTTTCTAGCATTAGTAGCTCCATCTTTCCCATCCTTAATATCAACTCTAAAGGCATCAGTAGGAGGTGCACATACATCGGGAGCCTGGCTTTTCTTTTTCAAAGAATCACATGGGCTCTCATTTAATGGGCCTTTTGATACTTCACCACAGGCCAACAAAGAGAAATTGCCAGACGGTTGCTCCGCAATTCTTAGAGTATTGTTTATATCTTGCGGTACCAAAGGAGGGTGGAGTAAATGACTTCCTGACCCGTGAAACCTCAAAAGCGATGGTGTAGGAAATCTTGGGGTTGATGGAGAGAGAGGAAATTGGGCAGGGTGCCCTTGAAGTGGTAATACGGACCACCTCTCCCCAGTTATTGGTATAGGGTACCCTTCAAGGGTTCCAACACTTAGCTCACTGTTTCTCTCTCTATTGTTCTGTGATTTCAAATGGAAAATTTCTTGACCTTGCAAGACCTTATGGAATCTATCAGATTCTTCAAAGCCTATGCTGTTGCTACTAGAAATGAAAGGGCCAACTCCAAGTGGTGTTTGGATGGCACCTCGGACGAACTCAGATGACATGGGACTGTTAATTGAAGGGATGAATCTTCGAGATTCCAACAGTTGATGACTTGAGCTGTCATAGGGTTTGCTAAAACCCGATTTTTCTTGACCTTGCAAGACCTTATGGAATCTTACAGATTCCCCAAAGTCTGAAAACGTGCTCCCATCTGCGCAATTAACCAAAGACAGTAGGCTTACCACAATCAAAAGATCAGCAAGATTTCGATAGGCATCACAAGAGACATTCATAGAGACAAGAATGATAAATACCAGGAGGGGAACAGCCAGTTTGAATTGATGGAAGACTGATCCTGGGTCGCTTTAATCCAGTTGCTGGAGGGCTAAATACTGGAACAGACCCCAAAAGGTCGATCTCCCATGGAGAAACTCGATCCAGACGATCATTCCCGGAATCCTCATCCCATCTGACCTGTAAAAAAATGAGGCTGATTCACAAACTAATATTCCGAAAGATACCATTAAGAGTCAATGGAAAAATATTCAAAACCAGATACCAAGCCATCGAACAACAAAAACACCTTAAATGAATAAATGTGCAAGGCACAGGGCCTTCTGAGACAAAAATGAAAAAGCATCCAGATACCAAGCATGATTGTATCCGCCTGAGCTATCAGAAATAAGCAGTAATGGTGGAGAATGCAGATGACCAAGTTACACAAAATGCATTCCGACTCAAATTCAACTGCATAGCAGCTGCTCCAAAAAAGAGTACACAGGAAGTAAGGAAACCCATTCGCCACACTCACCCGTCTGCCACTGATGGCAACAATGAAGGCCACAATCATTTCATTTGCAGAAATATTTTATCCAACAATTTTTGTGATTGCCTGATTTCAGTCCATATTCATTTGTAGCATAAATATGTGCTACATTCATGGGAATAAATGAACAAATGTGTCAATTTGCATCAATGCCAAGTCTTTTTGTCTCTTCCTTATTTGAACTCCAAATTCTCCCCAATTTCTTACTTGAAAAGCTGGACTCTTCAACAAACTTTTTGCCATTATTTTAGATGGATTAATATGGGTTACTTTAAAAGTAAAACTTAGAAAAATACAAAGTCAGGAAAATTGACTGAAAAACTACATGATCAAATGATGACAAAAAATAGAACTATTAAAATTCCCCTATAGAGTTCTTTCTTATTTTGATTTTTTATTTTTATTCGTTGTCCAATATTTTTGGGACATATTTGCAAATTTTTTCAGGACTTGGATGGTGGAACCTGATCTAATCCCAAGTTCAAGTACACTTGCCACAGATCTTGACTAAGTCCTGAGGAGAGCCTAAGATTTCCACCTTCATTACAATTTGGCATTTGCAATAACGTGTTTCAGCATACAAATATAGCCTTTCCCTCCAAAACTTAATCGCAAGAAGCTTGCACCTAAGGCAGTGCTTATTTTAAATGTTGATAAGAAGTTTGCTACATGATTTTAGCATATAGTATTGCTATTGGAGGAGCAAACATGCTCAGTCACCCGATAGACTCCCTCCTACAAACACACCCCAGTTTGCTACATGATTTTCGCAATTGTTTCTAGAAATGATCTCCTATATCTGAAATGTGTTTGTGGTAGGACTAGAAATGAGTCTGAGAAATGGTTATTACTGGTACATGATCACCAGAAGTTGCAAAGCACCAGTAATACTAGAAAGTCAAAACCACTCTAATAAGGAAAAAGTTTATATAAAGCTGAGGCTCTAAACAAATAAATTAAAGCCCACCTCAAACATTTCAGTAGAAGAGGTTGTTTTGATACCCAAATATCCTTAAATTGATCATCTCAACATCAAGATGCATGGACATGAGAGAAAAATGGATTTCAAGTTTTGGAAATAATGCATCTTGTAACGCATTTTTGGACCGTCAATTTTCAAGATTTTCAAGTTTTCATAGATCTGCTCGATATACACAATTTTTTGAAGCTTTAAATTTTATAATTAAAGATAAAAATATATTTTAAGGCTATCACAAAGATTGCTAGTATTGAAACCATATTTCTCAACACTATTTTACGGTGAGCTTTACTTTGATTGTCCTCGGCTTTATACAAACTACACCCTTCTAATAATACTACGATTTGTTTATTACCAAACATAAATTTCATATGCTATTAAATTTGCTAGGACAATCAAAATAAAGGTAACCTATAAACTAGTTATGTAATGTTAATACAATAGAAATACATATCATAGAGCCTGTTTCTCATTCTTCTGGGGATATACTTCACCATTTTACAATAATGTGATAATGTGCATAGGAACGGCCATATCAGTGATACGCTTCACAAGTTTAAAATGACACACACACACATGCACACACACATACAACACAACTACAAGTACAAGCACAAGCACAATGGACCATTACCACATAACTAGCCCACCTATTTCATATCCAGACAGCATCAATATCACAGATATTTCACTTTCAGAAACTGGCACGGCTCTAACATATCCTTCTCACACCAACTCATATCCCAAGAGGTACCAACTAAAATGTACTTAAAAAACCTTATCAGTACCAAAACTCGTAGCCATACATCACCCATGTAAACTCTTGGCAACTATACCCTTACCTATAAGACTAGTACTCATCAACATGTTTTGTGGGTCGTTTAGATAGTTGTTAATAGATCACTTTGCACCCTTATCTTAACTTACAGTTTTTTTTTTGAGAAAAGTTGACTACCCTCATCTAACTTACAGTTCACATAATTATTTTTATTTTTGATCCATATCAGAATGTTGCCTTCTTATGGCCTTAGTTACACTGCTCGTTCTAGTTGCCTAGGAGGCTAACTTGGCCTAGGTGGACGAATTCAGTCTGCCTCACCTTGAGGCAGCCACCTTTTAAAGCATTGACCAACACCATGGCCGAGTATAAGGTAATGGGCTAATCGCTAATGCAGAGTGAGATCATTTGAATCTGCATAAATTTGAAATTCCCCGCATGTCTTTATTGCAGCATTAACAATGCTAAAAATTGCCACAAGTCCACTTGTTCATAAGCAAATTACACATCAAGGTTGATTACCATTTTCATGAGAGTAGCTCATGAGGGGACATAATACTCTCTCATATGTCCATAGAAATAAGATTTGAGAATTCTCCTCATATTTCCATAGAGATCGCTAAAACATAATTTGTTCACTTGCGCCATGAGATCCCAGAAGTACCAGTTTTTCTTGTTATATTCTTCCTCATTGACATTCATCACAGTTCGAGAGGAGCAGGTTTCAAATATTGTCGGCAAATTCTTGTTGGTGAAATCCTTCCTAACTGAAATTTAGAAGCGTTAGAAGGAATAGAACGGTGTCATATATGTATATTATTTCTATTTTGTTCCGATTATGTAAGCAGTCTTCTTATTTGGTTCCTCCAATATTCATCAGATATGTTTCACCGTACTTTGGGGCATTCCTACCTTTAACCCCACATAACTTGTATTAAGTAGGGCTTCATTGTTTCACCTAAACAGAATCATTTACTGTCTCAAATTTAAAGATAACTAGCATTGCTCTAAGCTATCTCAAATTAAAAGATAACTAGCATTGCTCTAAGCTTTCCAATTTCAAGATTTACTTGCAGCCAATGAGCACAAAATTCCTTTCTAATGGTACAGCTGCAAAAGCACATGATAGCTCTAATGGATTCTTCAACGAGTTGTAGAGATGGAAGCTGCAACATATTAGCAATATAGTGACTTCGACAATAAAACATAAAACATTACACTGAGTTCACTATGAACTGCTTTGTTTTTTGTCATTCTCTTTTTAATATTAGTGACTACCGCAAATGTAGAGAACAATTTTCATACTCAAGATAGAATATAAATAAATTCCAGCATTATTACTAAAAAAGTGTAACAAGAAGTTCCTAATAACCATGTCATGCAAGAAAAGTATGTATACGAGGAAAATGTAAATAGTTAGAATAAATTGCTAAATAGGAGGAGACAAGGTTTCTTATGGAACACTTTCCACTCCCATGGAGCAGTAGAAAAAATAAGAACACAATTTAAGTTCAGATTCATATTGCTGATAAATCATTGACAGATTCGAAGAAGTACAAAAAGTTGTATGGTACTGGGTGCACCAATTATGCATCACCAGAACACACCAAGTTGGTGCATGACAACTATTCTAGTACATTAGCTAAATGCATGAGCACCATGGCATTATTAGTAAGGAACAAATGAATGAAAAGTTCAGCTTAGCCAGAATGCTCCATTCTGGAAAGATAAGAGACTAAGCACAAGATGAAAGCATGCAACAAGGAAGGGCATGTACCATCAGACACCTCCACTTTGAACCAGGCCATCTAACTGGATCAATATCACCCACTCCACTTATTAATCCTGTGCACCTGTAACACAGCAGTGATTTCCTAGACTTTTAATCAAAGGACAGATTTCCCTTAAAATATCCTTTTTCCTTTTTTTTGTTTAGATTTCTCATTCAATATTAAGAAGAAGCAAATAAACAAACCTCCTCTCTGCCGCATCTTCTGTTTCAATTTTCATTTTAAATCTCATCCCAAGGGAAAACTGTTGGTTGAAGTTCTTGTAATACTTCCAATATGGTACAATGAACTCCGCAGGGCTAGCCCTACATGTTAGAACGTTGAGGTAGAGGTTTAAGAGTTAAAAAGAAAATTATTAAGAGTTAAAAAGAAAATTATAAGCACATATATAAGCATAATTGAATTAAAGGACATAAAGCATATTAGGAAACCTCACAAAATTTTATTTTCAAGCAGCTTTTAATTCGCAGAGAACATCATCAACACAATTTGATGGAAACTCAAACTTTCAGTGAGATATAGAAATGTACCACAATTGCATCTAAGAAAGTGGATTCCATTTTAAACAGATGAAATACATATGCAGGTGTGTAAGGCCAGCCTAGCTGCCTGTATCCAAGGCTGTCAACATAGTTGTGGCATGATTTTGTAATTAACAACTACATTTGAGAAAGTGGGAGGAAGAGTTTATTCGTGTGTAAGTGGGTGGAAGAGTGCGACTGCGTCGAAGGAATAATTGAGATGGGAGAGTGAGTGTGCTGGGTGGTTATGGAGAGGTTGAGTAAGTGAGAGGGAAAGAGGTTGAGTAAGTGAGAGGGTATGAAGTTGAGTACGTGAGAGGGAGAGTGATTGGGTTATGGAATGGTTGAGTATGTGAGAGGGAGAGAGGTTAAGTGAGCGGGGGGAGAGGTTGAGTGAGTGAGAGAGAGGTGTGGGTGTGTAATGATAAGGGAGAGAGAGGTGCGTTGACTTTTGGAGAAGGTGAGAAAATTAGTTTGTGGGAGGTAGTGGGGAAGGGAGTTTCAAAGGAGCAAGGGGGCCCCACCCGTTTTGCAGTTTGAAAAGAGAGAGGGAAATGTTAGTAAGGGAGAAAGTGAATGGGAGAAAAAGTGGAACCACGTGGGAGGGAGAAAATAGTGGGCTTGGAAATGTGAGTGGAGAGAGAGAGAAAGATGTGGGACATTGGGAAGAGGGAGGAAATGAGAAGAGAAAGAGAGAGAAGGGGGAGTAGAAAGACAGAGAGATGGAGAGAGAACGAGAGAGAGACATTGGGAAGAGGGAGGAAATGAGTAGAGAAAGAGAAATGGAGGAAGAGAGAGGGGCATTGGGAAGAGGGAGGAAAAGAGTGGAGAGAGAGAGAGAGAGAAGGGGGAATGGGAGGAGAGAGAAAGAGAGATAGAGCAAAAGGAATATGGAGCAGGAATGGAGTATGGTATAGGGTGCACTAAGGTGTATTTTGATAGTTTCTCACCCTCTCCAAAATTGAGCGTCTCTAGCTCATTCGTCCGACAACAATGGTAACGGTCTCCTCGCACCGACAAACTGTAATCTGAGCTATCAACTCCAAGTGCAAGGTCTGTGGGCCCAGCTTTGCCGCATACAGGTTCACGATCCCTGCTTGTATTTATTTTTATCATTTATTTTATTTTTCTTGTTTTATTTCTAAGATATTTTTCAAATCCCCTATTTTCCCTTAATCTTCTAAAATTTCCTTTTCTTTTGGTTTTTAGGGGATCTTAATTGGCAAGGCCGGCAGACGACCAAATAATTTAGTTTTGTTGTTCCATTTCTAAGATATTTTTCAAAATCCCTTATTTTCCCATAATCTTCTAAATTTGTTTTTCTTTTTCGGTTTTTAGACAATCTTAGCCAACAATGCCGGCTAACCATCAAAGAAGGGACTGCTAGGTCATTTTTCTTTCATGATCCATAATTTGATGGAACCTTCATTCTCCACCTCTGATTGACTAGTTTAAGCAATAAATTAGGCAGAAATATTATTTTTGCTGAAATTTCATGTATAAACACAACTATTAATTTTATTCAATAGGTTAGATATAATCTGGGTCTAGTGGATGGGACATTAAAGCCCCCTAGTTCTACACATCCAAAATTTGGTGAATGAAGAGCTAACAATGCAATTGCCAAGTCATGGTTATTTAACTCCATGGAATCTGATAATGTGATAGTAAGATAATCCCAACAACAGCTGGAAATTATGGGATACCCTTACAAAATCAACTCCTGCAAAAGGAAAACAGCGCACGTGTATTCCAACTTCAGCACACAATCAACAAGGAAATAAGTCTTTTGCTGCATATTTTGGTGTGCTAAAAGGGATGTGGGATGAACTGAGTTACTATGAACTGCCTTTGTGTGATTATGCAACTGAGCCTGAAAAGTATAGGACAAAAGTAGATGAAAGCGAGGTTTTTGGGCTACTTGCAAGTCTTAATTCTGAATGTCTTAATTCTGAATTTGGGACTGATAGAAATCAAATCTTGGCTCATGAAAAACTTTCTTTCCTTTGTGCCATTTATAGTCTTTTTCAACAAGAAGGGAAGGGAAGTTATGAATGACCCAACCAGTTGAGCACCCCACTTTAGCAGCAAATAGCAAAACCATCATAACAAGTGGAAGGGTAGAGCTCAAGGGCACCCCAACCAAGTGAAGCATCCAAATCAAGAAAAATTCACTGCACCTACCCCAAGAAGGATGACTATCGACAAGGAAAGACGTTGGTCTTTACATGGGCAAAATTCCACTGCTTGTACAAATGCTACTCATACAATTGATCCCACTAGTGTAGAGACTTTCCAATGCTTCGGGAGACCTGAGCTTTACAACACATCTTCATCTCCTTCTGAAGTAGCAACTAGCTTTCTCGTATTGCTACCCCCACCACAAACTGGAAATTGATTCTCGAGTTAGGCACCACATGATGGTCATCAACAATTGAACCCAAATCTTTTTCATCATCTATTTCTCTCAAAACTATTAGTTTTGCTGATGGATCAACCATCCCAGCTCTTAAAGTTAGGCAAGTAACTTGGTCCACGGTTTTTTCTTTATCAAATGATCTCCATATGCCTTCATTCCCTGCTAGTCTTCTCTTTGTTAGAAGCATTCCCCAGACTAGAAACTACTCCATAACCTTTTATCCTACACATTGCGTCTTGCACTTGTTTGATAGAATATCCACGATTTTCACGACAATCATCAAACTTGGATAGAAGTCCATGTGACAAACTAATAAAATGATTCATTCTAATGTATGGGTCCCAAACCCATTATTTCTTTGGTAGGTAACAGGTATTTGTTAGTTTTAGATTATTATTCTCGTACTACATGGATTCAATCTATTACATCTGGAAATTTGATATCTTGGTTTAAAGTTTTTCATGAAATGTTCGTAACTCACTACAGTGCTAGACTTCAAATTCTATGATCTGACAATGGAACAGTTTGTCAATCGACACATTTCTGAATAATTTCAGGGAATTCTTCATCAAACATCTTGCCCTTTTATTCCCCAACAGAATGCAGATCTGGAATGCAAGAATAGACACCTCCTGGAGGTAACTAGAGCAATCATGTTTACAATGAATGGATGTGCCTATGATTCACAGGTTAATTGTTGTATCTATTGCATCATTCACAATAAATAGGTTATTGACTGCTATTTTAGATCATGTTCACCCTCAGAAAAAATGATTGCACGTCTGCACCCCAACAATCTTTAGAGAACCTTGGGGTCATTGAGTGTGCATGCTATGTCCATCTACCAGAAAGTACAAGAAGAATTTGGAACCTAAATCAATTAGGTGAATTTTTTTTAATGGTATTCCCCCATTCTAGAAAAGATTTAAGTATTGAACCTAAAAAGAGAAAGCACTATGTTTCAAGAAACATTACGTTCTTTAACTAAACGTCAAATTTATGTAAGGATCCCACGTCATCATCTAAAATGTTTAAAGGGGAGGATCATATTGTTTCACCAATTTTTGTTACACCATAAATGCCAATTTACCACATGGATTGAGTCTCCTCCCCTTCAGACTTACAATGAAAGCTTACTCCAATTTGAGCAACATACATATCCGCAAGATCACTTGTCTTCTAACAACTCTTAGCCATCATGTCAAGACCCAAACAGTGTTGCATAGATCCGGATATGGGTGTCATGTCTATTACGTGTCTTGAGGTCTAGTACTTTGGCCAAAAAACCCAGTACGGCCCGATACATCCATACAACGGGCTATATGTATGGAAGACACTCCAAAACGACTATGGGCAAAAATGAACAGTATTTTCGCCCAAAGGCTCGACGTCGTCCGAAAAAAGATTTTTCAGACGCTTGGATTAAAGACCGTCACGGACATATCATGTCCGTGGCGGTTCGTCACGCATATAGCATGTCCGTAATGGGATTTTTTTCAAACAAAATTGACACAAAAAATATAGATTTTTCAGTTTATATATGGAAAAGTCTTGAAAACACCTACAGGCGAAGTGCTACAGTGTTTCGTCCCCGTCACGGACATGTTATGTCCGTGACGATTTTGCCTAAAAACCACCACGGACCTACAGGAGCCATGGCTGTCCCCCTATATTTTTTGCGTCAATTTGCGTGAAAAAAAATCTCGTCACGGACTTGAAAATTCGAGTTCTTTCACGAAATAAAACTCGTATATACTGAGCTCGTAATGGTACCTCACAATTACAAAGTTTCTCTACAGCTAAAGAATAAGCATGCTCTTGGGCCATCATAGAAACATAAATAGAGTCAGAATTGAATTGATGCCAGCTATGCCGCACACATTCACTCGCATCACATAATAAACTCCCCGAACCGTGTGAGATGGTCACCCATCACACGGCTCTCTAACTTGAGTTACCCTTAGATTTTAGATAAGCAAACCAGGAGCGCAGCGTCATAATGGTTGAGTTTCGACTTCAGAAGTCTTTTCGCTTCTGGGTGATGAAGCTATGGTTCGAATAAAGCGTCTGCCTGGTTTATGCGTTAGCGAACGAACTAAATATTAACGGACTTTCTTCGTTTCTCAAAAGTTG